AAGTGAAACACAACAAGCACATTGAGGCGATGGAAATCAAGCATGTTGGAGACTGGCTTTGAAATTCCCTGTACATGTGTTTTAATTAAATAAGATATTTAATGTAAGACACTATATTAAAACCATTCATTAATGGAGTAGTTAATTTTGTGCAAAATTATCATTCACTCCATTACTATTTAATTGTGGTTTAGAATTAAATAATGAGTCCATTCGATTTACGGAAATATTCAAAACAGGGTATCAAGACCATGTCTTGGATAAAGAAACACCTGTTAAGTGAACATTTAATAATTAAATCGATAATTATCCCTAATCGAGGTCATCTAACAGATGGACGATTGATGACCGCCATAGATTAGTGTATAGTATGATTTACAGCACCGTTTCTTGTGCTGCAAGGACGTGACGGTCATAAATCATTTGCACAGGCACAGTTTGGAACCGTACTGGATAAGACCTATGAAAGTACTTTAAGAAAATTTAAATTTTTGTCATAAGTACATTTCTCATTATGACTATCGGAACTTGTTTCCTCCGACCATGAGTACTGTAAAGTTTTCTTGTTTGAGTACTAGACTCTTTGATGTTTCCAACCGTCTGCCGTAACTGGGGATTATAACGGGAACACTCAGGAGACTGGGATTGTCCCCCTACTAACAATAGGGAAAAATGTTTTGTTGTTTACAAGGCCTCTCGAGGAGCGAGACTATGAAAATGCATGGCCGTGCTCAAATGGATTTTAGAAATCATCTGCTTATTGACAGTCGAACTCGGAGATTGAGAAACACTTCTGAACGTAATAAGGATGAAAAAGAATCTTACCTTATAGTTCACGAAGAAACATTATGTGACATAGGAAATGGGCTATACACTGTATGCACACTTGTCTAGAAGGACAAGTGGGAGATTGAAAGGAATGGTGTCCTTCCAACAAGTGTATTCTTCCGATAGAGGGTTCAGAATTATTACGGAGTTAATTCTTCTGTAAGGTCAAGTGATCGGAATGCCTAGGTGGAGGCCGCTTCAGATCAGTAATATCAATGTACAATTGATGTTACAGCTTAATCTTAATTGAACCCTTCGGGTCGAACCTTATCGAATCACCGATCCGAGACGACGAATTAATCCGAAAGGATTTAATGAGTCAGCAGATTTTTACGAATACAAACGTCGGATATCGAGCCTAGGGCATCGAGACCGAGCGTCGCAAAATCGCAAGCAACAAGTATGAGAGTAGCCGTAGCTAGGCTAGGCTACCTCATCGCAAGCCTAGGCGCACCATGTGTGTGCTAGGCGCACCATGGTGTGCTAGGCAATATCGCATCCCTAGCATCATGCCTAGGCGCTATCGCAGCCCTAGCATGATGCTAGGCACCATCGCAGCCCTATCACACCAAGCACAGCACCCATGTGTGTGTGTGCATAAGCGTGGGCACAATCGCAGGCCATGCACCAAGCACAGCTAGCTTGCAGGCAGCACTGGCCTTGCGTGTGTGCTAGGCACCATCGCAGGCCACGCACCAAGCACAGCGCTAGTGTGTGCTGGCCTGGATGCGCGTAGCTATGCGAGCATGGGCGAGTGGTGCTAGCTGGCTGGGTGTGCGAGCCTGTGCGAAGGGTGCAGCGATGATGCGTGTGGTGCGTGGGATGTGAGGGCCAGCACCAGCGCCAGCACGCACCAACGCTTAGCACTAGCACGCACCAACACCAGCGCCAGCACGCACCAGCACCATGCATGCAAGGGAGCTGCTAGGCAGCCTGGTGCTAGTTGGCTGGGCGTGCTGGCACTACCAGGTGGCAGCCAGCCCAGCTGCCTTGTGAGTGGCGGTTTAGGAGAAGTGGGGACCAAAGCCTCTAGGCTTCCCTTGGGGAGCAAGGCAATGGTCCCCCCCCCCCCCATGGGATATGGTCCTCACCTAACCCATTCTCTCTTCTTGCCACTTGTTGCCTTGTGATTGCTTTTGCCTAATTATTTATTTTGGAATTGAATAAATTATTGCAATTGCACATGATCCCACATTGATCATGAAAAGGGGTTTCAAGTCCCCATTCTCTATAAATACCCACTTGGTTGGGATTTTGAGAAAACAACCTTGAGTGGAATTAAAAAGGCAACTATAATTAAGAGTAAACCTTTGATTCGTAAAACTCATAGTTTTCTTTGTCCGGGTCTTGACTAACCTTCAAGACTTAGGACGCTCGGGTCGGGTCGAGGGTACAATCCGTCGGAGATCTCGTGTTTTCGGGATTTTGAAGTAAGAGCTCTTTGGGAGCGAAGCACGAGACAAAGGTATAATTCTTGTTCTAAATCTTGTTTGATTAAGTTTAATATGCTTGTAAATTGTTTTAATTAAGGGGCGGGTCTTGGTGGGTTTCCTTCCGCATAGTGTCGGGTCACTACGAAACCCTACATATTGTTGTAATTGTCTCACCAAACCAAAACCCAAAGTAACCCCCAAAAAACTGAGATACAAAGTAGATAATTTTCACATATCAGATTGGAGGTGCCACAAACTTCGATTTGAAGAATTTAGATCTGCGAAACCCAAAAAAATCTTTTAAAAAAATAACAGATCCTAAAGAAAACTATTCACAACTTCAGGGCAGTTGATGGCTCAAGTTAGCATTCTCAAATGCAAAAGAACTAAGCACTGTCACTCAAATGCTAACAAATAATGCCTTCGAGTAACTAACTGGCTAAAAATATACTAATTACCCCTTGTTATGAAGTAATTCTAGGTATTTGTAGAGCGGATGAACTATAGAACATAATTAAAATTAAAGTCTTTAACTCTAAAACACTAATAGAATGGAACCTGAGCTCAAAATAATCAATCAAAAATAAATTTAGTAAAAACAGACTCTTTGGCTATTTTGCAGGATCTTGCAGCGAGCATCTTTCAAGCAGCTCAACAAGTTTGGGGCGACAGTTCTTTGGCATAGTAGATCTTAAGCCCTTATCACAATTACCAGAAAATCTTAACCGAATTTTCTAATTTCTAAAAGTTGCAAGAAACTGAAAGATATTCATTGATTAAAAAACTGCATTGATTAAAAAACATTACCTCAGAAGTTGTTTCAATGGAGGAGAAAGCTCAAAACTGCTACAATATAACGCAAAGCTAAATAACCAAGAAACCCTAACCTCGAATTTCTGATTTTTGGTTCAAAATTGATTCGAATTTGTTGTTGTTGAAGATGCACACACATCGAATTGATTCAAAATAGACACACCCAGAAACCCTAACCTCCAATATTATAGAAAGAGAGAAGGAGAAGGAGATCGAAAGAGAGAAGAAAGGAAAGGGAAAGTGGCGGTTATGGAGATGGAGATGAAGGAGAGAGAAGGAGTTTGAGGAAAGTGCTTAGAGAAAGCTCAGAAGCCCCTTCAATAGAGAAATTCGAGTACGCTTCAATGGAGGAGAGAGAGAAGCAGATCAGATGAAATAGCAGGAGGAAAAATCGAGGAAATGAAAAGAGTATGGGAAAGAAATGAAAACGAAGACCCGGTTTTTTTTACCGGTGCTAATTAACATAGTTGGCACCGGTTTAAGGCGAACCGGTGCCAACTCTATGCCATACTTATTTTATTTTTTTTATATAAGTTGGCACCGGTTTGAACCACTGCTAATTAAATGATTGGCTTCGGTTTTGGTTGGAACCGGTGCCAACACTGAGTCTTTCAATCCGCCCTTTTTTTGCACCGGTTTTTAAGAACCGGTGCTAAAGGGGTGGTGCCTATTTCATTTTTTCTACTAGTGTATCCACACCAAATTTCAATCCAACAACACACAAATCACAACAACAAGCCCACTACTTCAATACTTCAACACAATGAGCGTACTTTCGGAATCACCAAGCAAAATCAACCAAGCAAAACAACTCAACAACAATTAACAAGGTCAACAAGAAATCAAGAATTAATAATGCTCAATAAGATGAACCAACGCAAAATAGGCATGCAAACATCAAAAATTCCCACATGAAATTCACAAGAAAACAAATTTTCTCACCACAAGAAATATTTCAAAGCGAAAGAAAAACTAGAGTAGAAAAGAGATATACCAACAATGAGTGCCAAAAACTACTCCAACTAGCCTTTTGAAGAAGAATTCCAAGCCACCTTCAAGGTCCCTTCAATGGTGGACGAGCTAGAGTCGTTCGGTTGAGAACATCGAAAATGGGGGTCTTGAATGGTGAAATTTCAGATTTTGATGAGAAAATCTGAGAGAAAATGAGGTAATTTGATAATTTTTTATGAATATTGATGAGAATTTGAGGTGCGAGGAGTTATGGTTTGAAAAGGAGTGGGGGTTTAGAGAGAGAGAGAGGGAAAAAATCTAAATTGGGGAAAAATGTTTCGAAAATGCTTGAGGAAAAGGGCGAAAATCCGCAGGACCTGCTCGCCGCGCCCGCTGGTTAAAGGGTCGCGCCCGCAGGTTTCCCTGTCCGCGCCCGTGGGTCATAGTGTCGCGCCCTCTCCTCAGCATCTTCTAAACATCTCCACTTTGTGAATATTTCTAAAGAATAGCAGGTAGCGCCCGCGGGTTATATGGCCGCGCCCGCGGATTTTTCCTGTCCGCGCCTGCGGGTATATATGCCGCGCCTGCGGGTTTTCATGGAGAGCCCTCTCCTGGGCATCTCCAGAAACATATGGGCCGCGCCCGTGCGTCTACATGGAGAGCCCTCTCCTGGGCATCTCCTTGCCATCTCCGCTTTCTTCAAAAACACAATGAACCCCCTTAGATCTTGAGACTAAAAAGCGAAGTGCAATCTTCTCTTTTGCTTCTAAACATCCCCTTAACACCTTCATTCTCAAATTTGTAGATTCAAGTACCTACAAAAGGAGAACAAAATGCACGCAAGAAGAGTCTAGAGAGAAATCAACCAAAATTGACTAAATACAAGAAATGAACGACCAAAAGAGTTTAAGAACTCGGGTTGCCTCTTGAGAAGCGCTTCCTTAAAAAGGTCACTAGCTTGACCATAATAAACCATCATCCAAGAGGTGGCTTCGGATCCAATGGATCAAGCCTCATACATTCTATCAAGCCTACTTCCTCCTTGCAAAAGTAGTGCTTCAAACGATGACCATTAACCATGAACTTGTTGTCTCCCGCCTTCAACTCAAAAGACCCATAAGGAGTAATTCTTAAAATCACGAAAGGTCCTGACCATTTGGACTTGAGCTTTACGGGAAACAAACGGAGCCTAGAGTTGAATAACAACACCTTATCTCCAACCTTGAAGCTCTTGTTCCTTATATGTTGGTCGTTCCATTTCTTAGTTTTCTCCTTATAGAGTCTCAAGTTCTCATTAGCATCAAACCTAAGCTCTTCAAGTTCATTGAGCTTGAGCAATCTCTTCTCACCGGCCAACGACATATCCATGTGTAGCTCCTTGATTGCCCACCAAGCTTTATACTCGAACTCAACCGGAAAATGACAAGCCTTCTCATAGACCAACCGATAGGGGGTTGTACCAATTGGAGTCTTGTATGCCGTCCGCAAGGCCCAAAGTGTGTCGTCAAACTTGAGGGACCAATCCTTCCTAGATTTGTTCACCATCCTTTCGAGAAGGTTCTTAATCTCTCTATTTGACACCTCCACTTGCCCTTGGGTTTAAGGATTTTAAGGTAGACCAACTTTGTGATGAACCCCATATCTCTTGAGAAGAGCTTGGAATCGCTTTTTGGCGAAGTGGGAGCCTCCATCACTAATTAGCACCCTAGGAACCATGAACCGCGGAAATATGATTTTCTTGAGAAGCTTAAGCACAACCTTATGATCATTGGTAGGGGAGGGTAGAGCTTCAATCCACTTAGTCACATAATCCACCGCTACCAAGATATACAAATTCCCACATGAAGAGACAAAAGTCCCCATAAATTAGACACCCCAAACATCGAATGGCTCCACTTCCAAAATGTTTTGTTGAGGCATCTCATCCCTTTTTGGTTATGCCACCACTTCTTTGGCATTTGTCACATCTTGAAACGAACTTATGGGAATCCTTATGCATCGTAGGCCACCATAGGAGGATTGAGAGATTTTTGCCACCGTCTTATCAACTCCTCCATGTCCTCCACACGGTAATGAGTGGCAATGCTCAAGAACTCCTTCGATCTCATGGTCTGGAATACATTTCCGGAAGAGGCCATCTCTACACTGCTTAAACAAATAGGGGTCATTCCAAAAGTATCTCCTCACTTCCTTGAAAAACCTTTTCTTTTGTTGAGAAGAAAACTCCGGGGGAAGGACCCTGCAAGCAAGTTAATTGGCTATATCTGCATACCATGGGCTAGATGTTGAAGCCATAGCCATGAGAGTTTCAAATCCTACTTCTTCATTGATTGGCACATCCTCCTTGTTCACAAAAGGAAGCCTAGACAAGATCCGCCACAAAGTTCTCCGCTCCCTTTTTATCTCTCATCTCCATGTCCAAATCTTGGAGCGAAAGAACACAGCGAATGAGACATGGCTTAGCTTCCTTCTTGGTCATAAGATAGCGAACCGCTATATGATCCGTGTACACAATCACTTTGGAGGATATGAGATAGGACCTAAACTTTTCCATGGCTAACACAACCGCAAGCATTTCCTTCTCCGTCGTTGTGTAATTCTTTTGAGCCTCATCAAGTGTTCTACTTGCATAGTAGATGACATGACTTGCACCTACTGCAAAATCACTTGCATCGCACATTAGCTCAAAAGGCAAGCTCCAATCCAGAGCTTGCACAACAGGAGAGGAGATGAGAGCTTCCTTGAGTTTTTGAAATGCCTCAAGACAAGCCTCATGAAAGTTGAACACAACATATTTCTTGAGTAATTCGGTCAAAGTTTTGGCGATTGATGAAATTTTTTTGATAAACCTCCGGCAAAAACCGCTATGCCCTAAAAAAGCTCTCACTACCGTAACGGAAGTAGGACGGGACAATTTTGCAATCACCGAAACCTTGGCCGAATCAACTTTAATGCCCTTTTTTGATACTTTATGGCCTAGGACAATACCTTCCTTGACCATAAAAAGGCATTTCTCCCAATTTAAAACCAAACTCGTCTCTTGACACCTTTTCCAAACTCTTTCAAGATTATAAAGGCATGTGTCAAAAGACGAGCCACTAACACTAAAATCGTCCATAAAAAACTCATCTCATTTTCAAGCATTTCAGAAAAAATAGAAGTCATGCATCGTTGGAAAGTTGAAGGAGCATTTCAGAACCCGAATGACATTCTTCATTATGCGAATGTTCCATATGGACATGTGAAAGTAATTTTCTCTTGATCATTTGGATGGATAGGGATTTGGAAAACCCGGAGTATCCATCCAAAAAGCAAAAGAAAGCATGATGGGAGAGTCTCTCCAACATTTGGTCCATGAAGGGGAGAGGAAAATAGTCTTTCTTTGTATTTTTGTTTAACCTCCTATAATCAATGCACATTCTCCACCCGGTCACCGTCCGGGTGGAGATTTCCTCTCCTCCTTCTCCCTTAACGATGGTCATTCCACCTTTCTTTGGAACAACGTGAACCGGGGTAACCCATTTGCTATCAGAGATAACATAGATTATGCCCGCTTCACGCAATTTCAAGATTTCTTTCTTTACAACCTCTTGAAGGTTAGGGTTCAACCTCTTTTGAGGCTCAATCACTAGGGGAAATTACGAATTCCCCACCGGTTCAAACCCCCCATTTCGCACCGGTTTTGAACCGGACCGGATTTGGGGGGTGCTAAAACCCCATAGATTTCGCACCGGTTCAAAATCGGTGGGAAAAATGACTTTTCGCACCAGTTTTTCCTTAGAACCGGTGCCAAAAGTCCCTAAAATTATTTAAAAAAAAAACTTTAGCACCGGTTCTTTCGAAAACCGGTGCCAAAAATGCCCAAAAATAATAAAAAAATAATTATTTTTTTTTGCATTTTTTTCACTTAAATTGTACCAAATACTTATATATAATCATAATATACATAAAACACATATATTTTCTTCAATAACTTGTAATATTACACTTTAAAAAACTGAAGAAAAAAAATACAGAATCAAGGTCTGGAGAAGTTGTTGCTGGCTACTGCTTTCTGTTTCTGGCTGCTTAGGTCTGGTTCAGGCTGCTGGTTCTGTTGCCTGCTCTTTCACCTATCAGCTCTTGGAACCTCTGGTTGTGAAGCTTCCTTGTTGACTTGACAGCAGGATCGTCACCAAACATAATATTACTCTGTCCTCCAGCAGGCTACAAAAAGAGATTATGTTAATGATCAGGTTTACAAGAAAATTTGTCAAATACTAAAATGGATGACAATACTTGAGACTTACAGCTACAAAACTTTTATCCTTTGAAAAAACTTTGTCAAGTTTATCAGTATAGTAGTCACTAATCAGGCAATTCAATTAACACGCATATAAATTTCATATTATACTGTTTTCTATTACGGTCCTCTAAAGCCTACCTTTCTACAATCATTATCCTCCAAACACAGATAGTAAGCTCAAGACAATGCAAAATAAAGGTTGTATTTAAACAGGTGATCCCTAATTGCTGACCACACAAACAGAACAACATAAGGGGGAAACCAACTTAGTATAGCTAGAAAATAGAAAAGATTGAGTCACTCTCTTAAAAACTTAGTATGTATACTCACGTTGGAAGATTTCTTGGTGCTGGCTCACCCATGTCCTTTTCTTTTGACTCCAATGAACGTGCAATAGCCAATGATCGAGGAAGATTTTCCGGAGGTGGGCCAAAAATGTTATTTCCACTGAGTTCCTTGCACTTGGCATATGATAGTCCCTTTTTGATCTTTGAGTCTGCCTCAACTTCTAGAGTGCCACTCAATTCACGTTGCTTTTCTACCTCTGGCAGAGAGGTAGGCTTCTTGGGTGTCACACTTTCGTCGACACTAAAAGAAATCTGGCTAATTCCATTGACAGCTTGCTGCAATTGGCAGTTACAAGAGAAAGGGTCAAGAGTTGATCCGGTGTATCATTACAAAAAAATATACTTTGTACGAAGTATATTAATGAAAATAAACCTGATAAACTCTCCTTTGTTTGGTAGCATACCAGAAAAGTTATGGAGAAAAGTAAAAGGGGGAGGATGGATGGGAGGAGAGAATAAGAAAGACAAGGAGTAGAGTGGAAAATGTGTTAATTACTCACAAAAGGAAATTGATTTCCACCCTTGGGAAAATTGCTTTCCATCCCATTAGATACCAAATAAAAGAAAATGGTTAACACCCAACCAAACACTATATGTTTTTAACAAGATACTTGTATAGTGAAATTAAAAAAGTGGTTGCCGTGGCAGGCATAGTGGACACTAGGAAGACAACATGATTGGGAATATGCACGATAAAAGCTTATAGAAAAGATAATATACCAAATCAAAACATCAATGGACAACAAAAACAGGTATTTTTAGAAATTTATGATTTTTACTAAGGTTATTTTCTCCTCTAATTTATTTATATAAGTATTAGCAAAAATAATTAAGTTTAATATAAATTCAGCAAAAATAAGTTAAGCAAATTGATAAGCTAAGTTAAGCAAAAGCAAGTCCAGTTAAGCAAAAATAGGTTAAGTAAGAAAACTTTTTACTTATTTATTTTTTACAGACGGAAAAGAAAAAAGGAGAACAAAGCCTAAATGCATTCCAATAATCTTTTACGAGGCATCCTTGAACACATGCCAAAAGATGATCTGGTAACTTAGCATCAAAAGCTCACATGTGCCATTGTAATTGTAATAGCCAATCAATACCTGTATCACCACCACTACAATAGCTTCATTTGGAGTAGCATCTCTAGTATTGCCATCACTACCACATACTGCAGGGTAAATGGCAGCCCTTTTCAGACATGAATCTTGTAGAGTGCAAGGAAATGAAATTCATTCGAGATGAAATGTTTATTGAGCATTGTACTTGTGATCTTTTATTAACTTTCCAGCAAGATCCCTTAACTCCCTATGCAAATTAAGAGCTCTAAATGACATGAATGCAATTGAAGCAATGAAAGCAACGTGGTAATATAAAATTAATTGTAAAAACCTTGACACCATACATATGAATTTTCACCAATTAATAGAAATAAGAGAAGAAACAATAGTAAGCCATACCCTAGCAAATAGGTCTTCTCTCATCCATGGAACCAAATACTTCCATGGCCATATATCTAGCGTGCTAACCACACTGTTTTTCTTTCACTAACGTCCAGCCATTTGTACGGCAGAAGTTAAGTTAGGATGCACCAAAAATCTAGCAGCTACTTCAATTTTAAATAAATATGTACTGAATACACAATCAACTGGGTTACTTAATATTGTCACCACTGATGTCTTATCCTGTGGTAGCTTAGTCATCATGCTATAATCATCATGAGTGACTAGCAACCTGCAATGAGCTTTTCTGCAGAAAAACAGAGAAGATATTCATGATTTGTACACCATGATTGGAAAATGCAAGAGATTCCTACCAATAAACAACTAAAAAGGAATAATTGGGTTGAAGAAAGTATAAATAAAATAAAATAAGAGCAGTTAGGATAAAAAAGTATAAATTACAAAATAAACAAGATACATAAGGTCCTTTTATTAAAGGTATCTTCAAAGGAGCAGCAAACCAACACAAATTAGTAAATTACACAATTGATCATTTTGAACAATTTGTTCCTACACCAATTAAAAGATTCATCAACAGTGAACATCATAAGCTCTCCACTACACCCACTAGAGAAAGATGACCCACAAGCAGATCAACTGGGAGGATAAATAAGTAAACAAGACATGGAAAGTGGAAAATAATGTTCAGAAACACTAGCCAAGGTTGATGCATGCAGGATGAGCAGGCAGAGCACACAGATGAATCATAATTTACAAACTCAAAGTTGTTGCTGCTATAATGACCTCATGAGACATGACCTCAAGTAAGGGCTCAGCAATTCAGGGAATTTAACAGCCTAGAAACATCTTCTGTTGTCGACAAACAAAGACTAGGTTCACTAATCGAGAACACTCCACAAGCAAGAATTCAGATCTAGATAGGAATTGGAAAGCTCTAGATTATGAATCATTAAAAAATATATAGCAAAGGAAGGATTAGATATTTGAGATATTAGGTTGTATTAGGTCTTGGTCCATCTTACATTAACTTATTTTGACATTCGTGAGGTATATTATCCTTAAACCAGCCTTATACATAGATTAAATCGGCCCTGTTAACTTTTAAGAACGTCAAAATCTTCAGCTGCAAAATTTCAAGGTTTTACTAGCTGTAAATTAGATTTACCCCTGTCTTATGCATCAAACACATGCATAAAAAGATAGTACTCCCAGCCTCTCATATGAGACTTTCATGTTTCCTCTCTTTTACGACTATGAACAAATAAGGAAGTGATACACTGGATTTCCATTAGGAAATTACATGATTAAGCCTATATTGGGAAAAAGCAAACACCAGTAATATATTTGTCCCATGTAGAGGAATCCACATTCCAGGCAACCTTAGATTGGAATAATTTATTTTTTTTACATTTTTCCACATGAATCACAACAGAAACACAACCCCATTTAAAATTACTTACAAAATCAAAACATGGGATTTCAGCATCATTCAAAAAAAATCACAACCCAATAATAAAGTAATTAAATAAAATATTTCAACACTAATCCATGAAATTTTCTGCAAAAAAATTCTGAAAAATAAAATAAAAATGCAGTGTATATTATATACCTAAAGAAAGACAAGAATTTTCCCAAGCAAAGAATCCAAAGAACTAAACCTCTGAATGTGATTCCAGTAAAACAACCTCAGACAATTTCTAAATAGACAATAAGCTGAATTCTCACACACATAAACCAAATTAATGCAATCAATCAACTCATAAACCATTCCTAAATAAATTAACACACACATGTACACCTTCAACAATATAAACCTTCAACTAATTATCCCATTCAACAAAACAAATCGAATTTACACTTACATGTTTTGGAATCCAAATACGGCTTGTATTCAAACGGAACCATGGCTTCGCATCAACCAGAACGCCTTCAAACGCCCAAAAATAAAAATTCAACTATTTGATGGTTCACACACCAACCTTAATTGCATTCAAAATTTCAATTGTTCATCATTAAACAGAAAAAATAAAAAAATCATAAAACCTAGATTTCAAACGCCTATAAATAAAAAAAAAAATTCATAAAACCTAGATTTCAAATCGAAGAGCACATACCTCGAATTTGTGATCTTGAATTGATAACAGATTCAATTTTGTTGTTGTAGTTGTATTTGGTTCAAATTGACGGCGGCCGATTTCGGACTGAGAAGGAGGAGAGCGGCGTTGCTTGCGGCGCAGTTATGGAGAAGGAGATCGAAGGAGAGAGAAGGAGTTTGAGGCTTCATTGTTGTAGATGAGAGAGACTGAGAAAGAGGCATATGGGAGAGGAGGACAGATCGAGGAAAGAGAAATACATAAGACAGAAAGAGAAAGAAAGAAGATAAGGCCCGTGTTTTTTTTTAATAATAGCTTTCCCACCGGTTCGAACCGAACCGGTGTGATTAACTCATTTTTCGCACCGGTTTGGTTAGAACCGGTGCGAAAAGTCTTCCCCTCAATCCCGCCTATTATTTTTCCCATCGGTTTTTAAAAACCGGTGGGCATTTTGCGGTGCCTATTTCATTTTTTCTACTAGTGAATTGAGCTGGATTCCCTTAATATCATCAATGCTACAACCTATCACATCTCTATATTTTCTCAACACATCAAGTTATTATTCCAAATCAAGACCATCAAGGGTAGCATTAACAATAATAGGGTATTCCCCTTCATTTCCAAGATAAGCATATTTCAAAGAGGGGGGAAGGGATTTGAGTTCTACCTTGGGGGGAGGCTTGGAACTCTCCTCCAATTTCTCCTCTGCTAGCTCGAGCTCATCATCTCTAAGATCATCCTCTTCCTCGTATTTAGCTTCTTCAATGGCCATGACAAACTCTTTTGCTTCTTGAGACTAGTACTCTCCTTGCATGTAAGAGCTTCAACCATTGGATCTTGAGGACTCATCATAACCCTTCCCAAGCGATCTAACTCTTCATTCACAACAACAACCCTATAGCACTTCTCAACCATGGGGGTCTTAAGTAGCTTAGAGAACTCAAAAACAATGTTTTCATCGGCTACCTCACATGTAATGGTGTTGTTCTTGCAATTGATCACTGCCTCCAAGATCTTGAGAGCTTCACGACCCAAAATCAAGGGAGTATCGAAATCCTCCTCCATATCCATCACTATGAAATCACAAGGCACATAAATATGCCCAACTTGAATAGGAACATACTCAAGCTCACCACAAGGAAACTTCACCGAACGGTCGGCCAATTGGATAGTTTTTCTTGTGGGGATCATTTCAATATTAAGTTTTTGAACAATGGATAGAGGGATCAAACTAACACTTGCTCAAAGATCGGCTAAGGCGCCCCTAGCTTCCATGTTCCCAATCTTTACCGGCAATGTAAAACTTCCCGGATCCTTTTGCTTCTTCGGCATCTTATGTTGAACAAGTGCACTCACTTGATGGGGGAGAGTGATGAGCTCATCATTAAGCTTCCTCTTGTTGGTGAGAATATCTTTCAAGAACTTGGAGTATGAAGGCATTTGTGTGACAACTTCAATGAAAGGGAGGATTATGTGCAAGTTCTTCATCACACTAAGGAACTTTGCAAATTTGTCATTCAACTTCCTCTCCACAAGTCAACCGGGAAAGGGAACCGGTCCATCAAGATTCCTAGCCTCACTAGGATTTGAATATGTCACCACATCCTTAGACTTCTTTTTCTCCATACTTCTCTCTTTCTCAACAACTTTCTCTTCTTCAACTTCCTAGCCTTCACTCACGCTCTCTTCTCCTTCGTTCTTTTCCTCACTATCCCCCTCCTTGGGACCCTCATAGGACGTACTTGATCTCAATGTGATTGGCTTGCAATAGTCGGGTTTCACAATGTTAGAAGGGTTAGTTTGTGATTGTCCGGGTAGAGTAGAAGGTGAGTTGAAAGGAACCCTCTCGGCCAATTGTGCTAGTTGTGAATCAACCATCTTGTTATGAGCCTTGACCTCTTGCATTTGTTGATTCATGGCTTGAAGTTGTTGAAGAATTTGGGTTTGAGTAGAATCGGGTTGAGATGCTTGCTCTTGATTCCTTTGAGTCGCTTGATTTTTATTGTGGTATTGGTTTTGATTATTGTGTTAGTTGTTTCTTGGGTATTTCCCTCCTGGGTTTAGGGTTTGGAATGGAGGTGGGTTTTGGTATTGGGGGTAGGAGTTGTATGGTTGTTGAGCTTGTTGATTCCATTGTTGGGGTTAGTGAGCGAATCCGGGTGGTGCATGCCTCCAAGCTACTCCACCGCCACTTCCCCTATATGAAAGGAATGGTGTCCTTCAAACAAGTGTATTATTCTGATAGAGGGTTCAGAATTAACAGGAAGCCAATTCTTCAGTGAGATCATGTGATCGGAATGCCTTGGTGGAGGCCGCTTCCGATCAGTAATATTAGTGAACAATTAATATTACAGCTTTATCTTGACTGAACCCTTCGGGTCGAACCCAAACGAACTGCCGATCCGAACCGACGAATCAATCCGAAGGATTTGATGAGTCACTAGAGTATTACGAACACAGACGTCGGATATCGAGCCTAGAGCGTCAAGACCGAGCGTCGCAAAATCAACAAGCAACAAGTTTGAGCAAAGCCGTAGCATCACATTGGCCTAGCCATGTGGTTGCTAGGCCAGCTCGAACTAGCATGCACCTCGCATTGCTAGGAGCAAGCCTAGCATGCCATGAGTGCTAGGGGCTAGTGCCTAGCTGCTATCGCAAGGCTAGGACTTGCTAGCACTAGCGCACAACATGCCCAGCTGCTATCGCAGGGCTAGGCCTTGCTAACACTGGCGCGCAGCATGCCTAGCTTGTTAGGCGCTTGCGTGTGGCAACATAGCACAACGCTACGCACCAGCCAGCAAGCGCGCTGGGCTGTGCGTATATGCGTGTGCCTTCGCATCGCAGCACCCAGCAACACGCCTAGCAGTAGCGAGCTTGGGCCTTGCCCAGCAGCATGCGTGGCTCGCTAGCAGCATGCATGCGCTGGGGCTTGCTGTGCTGGATGGCTAGCAAGGCAAGCTGCCTAGACTTGGTGTCATGCGCCAGCTGGAAGCCTTGGCAGCCAAGGCAGGCTGCCAGCCTACCAAGGGCCTTGATGCCGGTTTAGAGTTGTGGGGACCAAGGCTTGGAGCCAACCCTTGGGGAACAAGGCAATGGTCCCCCCCACCCCTTTTGGTGATGGTCCTCACCTAACCTCTCCTCTCCATGTGCCACTTGTTTATTGTTGTTTGCATTATCTTTTAATTTATTTTTGATTTAAATAAATTAGTTGGAAATGTAAACTATCCAATATTGATCATGAATCGGAGTGCAAGTTGCATTTCTCTATAAATACCCAATGATTGGGCATTTGGAAATCAACTTGAGTGGAACTCAAAAAGGCATCTCTAAATAATGAGAAAACCTTTAAGTTCGTAAAACTCTAGTTTTATCTTTGGTCAAGTCTCGACTAACCCTCGAGACGAAGACCTTTCGGGTCCGGTCGTGGGTACGAGTCGTTGGAGGCCATCACGCTTGTGAGGCTTAAGCTTATAAGTAAGAGCTCGGTTCACGAGCGAAGCACGCTTCAAGGGTATAACTTCTATCTCCCTTCTCTTAATTATTGTTTAATTATGTTTATGCATGCTTTATTGCTTTAATTATTGAAACGGGTCTTGGGGGGTTTCTATTCCGCGTAGACACGGTCTCTACGAAACCCTACACTATATCCATCTTGCCTTGTGTTGTAAGCCGCCACATGCTCCGGGCTCAAACCTCCATAATAAGATGTATCATGGTTCGTTCCACCACAATTTTGACAAGAGAAAGAATTGACTTGAGAGGATTTTGCCTCACTATTGACACTAGTATTCAACTTTGCAAGCCCTTTTGTCAAAAGCTCAATTTGATGTTGCAATTAATCAACCTTCTCCAATTCATACTTTCCACCCTTCTTTGGTGCATTCCTCCTTCTACCACCCCAAGGGTAGTTCTTCACTACCTCTTCAATTGTTGCTTAAACTTGATTTTGAAGTTCTTTAATCAATTGACCACCCGCCCCCGCATCCAAATTAGCTCTAGACATAGGTTCCAACCCATCATAGAAGAATCTCTTGAGCAAGCTTTGATTTTATTCGTGATGAGGACATGCTTGTACCAACTCCTTGAATCTTTCCCAAGCTTCACTAAGACTCTCATCTGCTTATTGTTCAAATGATGCGATCTTCCTTCTCATCTCGACGGTCTTTTCTTCGGAAATGAACCTCTTCAAGAATGCCTTGACTACCTCCCTCCATGTCGTGAGAGAGTTGGGCTTGACTTATTTGAGACACTTCTTTGATCTACCTGAAAAAGATTGTCGAAATAAGTGCATACGGATGTATTCCTGAGAAACTTGGTTCGTTTGATTCATGGCACAAAGCTCAAGAAATCTATCAAGATGCTCGATAGGATCTTCACTTGGAGAACCCGAAAATTTCTCCTCTTGAACCATTCTAGTGTATTGAGGATGAATGGTAAAGTTTGTTTCCTTTACGGGTAGCAAAATCCCTCCCGTGAGTTCATAATCCTCGGGATTTCCAAACTCACGAAACAAAACATCATTCTCTTGCCTTGCCATTTCCTCGCTTTGAGAGCTTGAAAAGACCAAGAATCACTCTCACTATCAAAAATAGCACCAAGACCTTGCCCCTCTTCTTGATAAAAGTCTTCAGACTTGTCTCAATGTGCGGTCGATTTCGTGGTCAATGTAGTGTGTAGGATCTCCTTTGCATCCACCAAAGCTAAGCAAACAATTAGCAATGACTAGCAAGAAAGTAAAGGAACAAAATAAAAAGGCAACAAATCCAATAATAACGCAATAAAAGTGCAAAACAAGTTGTTTCCCCAGCAACAACGCCAAAAATTTGATCGGTGGATGATAGGTCGTTACTACTACCCTAGATCAAATCTAAAATTTTTACTCCTAACCTAGCTCTATCAAATTTAGGTGAGATAGTGGCAAGTTAGGGTCGAATCCCAAAGAAACGGGGGTCATGCTTGATTATTGTGAAATCTAGAATCTATTGCTATTGACAAAGGGGATATTAAGGTTTGTTTTGAGAAGTTTTATGATAAAACTATCTATCAAATGAGACCTAATCAAGCTAAAATTAAGGAGATTGAACTAGACACTCTAAAGTGAAAATGAAAGGAAAAACTATGGAGATAATAAGGGCAAAAAGCGCTAGGGAGAGGGGGTTCCAATCATGATCAACAAGACACTAATGAAAATCAATAAGGATTTATACCAAGGAGTACAAACTCTACTCGAAGCAATTCATTCTCATGCAACTACTCAAAGCAAGTTGATGAAATCAATCAAACCTAAACTAGATCATTCTCATGCATCTAATCTAGGACTAACATATTGGGGTTAAAGGTGCACACAATAACTCCAAGCATATTTGAGCATAAATCATCAACTTAAGGTAAAACCCAATAAATAATCAATAGAAACTCAAGAAAATATTATTTTCACCCCCTTCCCTAGGTAGAAATCTAAGCTAGAGAAAGCAAAATAGCCATGACAACTAAACTAAACATGTATTCAATCCTAACACAACTTAGCATGATTCTAAATCAAAGAGAAAGCAATGAAACAAGTAAGGCTAGGAACTTTATGGAAGAAAACACAAGTAAGAACAATAAAACTAAAGACTAGAGAATAAGGAAAACAGATTACTATTATAAATGTTGAAGGATTAGCCAAACATGAAATAGTTGCAATAATCTTGAAGAAACTTTGAATATCTTGATTACAAAGATTGAAACTTGAAGACTAGCTAATTTCTCTCTATAAAAGATTTAATGTAAATGGAATAGTAGATGGATGAAGATTCAAGCCAAAGACTATTTATAGTCTCTTGATAAAACAAGGAAAACGGGCATGGGAGAGGCCTCTCCAGTCAAGCTGCCGCGCCCTCTCCTTCGTGGGTACGAAGTAAGGAAAACCTAGGATTGCCGCGCCCGCGGCCCTCTTAGCCGTGCCCTCTCCAGGCCATCTCCCAGCCATCTCCAGAAACTGCTATGTAGCTTAGGATCTCCCCTGCCCGCGCCAGCGGCTGTGAGGCCCGCGCCCGCGGCTAGCTATTTGTAGAAGCGCGCCCCCTCCTTTGCAGCATCTCCTCATCCTTTGAAGCATCTCCTCTTCCTTGAGCAAGCTGCCTTAGCAACTCCAACTCCGTCTAGCAATCTAAAATTCTCCCATGACTGCTAGGAGCTATCAAAACACATGAATAGAAGGTGAAAAGTAAAACAAAGATAAAAGAGAAGGAAAAACTCGAGAGGGAGCTAAAGTAACTAAAATAAAGGTAGAAACGGTAAGAAGAGGTCTAAACAAGTGACAAACCGGGGGAATTCTCTAGTGAGAAAGGGTGAAATGGTGGCATAAATGCCACTCATTAGCAACCACCACCCGGATTTGCTCACCAACCCTAACAATGGAATCAACAAGCTTAACAATCATACAACTCCAACCCCCAATACCAAAACCCACCTCCATTCCAAACCCAAAACCCAAGAGGAAACTACCTAAGAAATAACTAACATAATAATCAAAACCAATACCACAATCAAAATCAAGCGGTCAAAGGAGTTAAGGGCAAGCATCTCAACCCGATTCTACTCAAGCCCAAATTCTTCAACAACTTCAAGCCATGAATCAACAAATGCAAGAGGTCAAATGGTTGATTCACAACTAGCTCAATTGGCCGAGAGAGCCCCTTTCAACTCACCTTCTACTTTACCCAAACAATCACAAACTAACCCTTCCAACATTGTGAAACCCGACTATTGCGAGGCAATCACATTGAGATCGGGTACATCCTTTGAGGGCCCCAAGAAGGGGGATAGTGAGGAAAAGAAGGAAGGAGAAGAGAGTGTGGGTGAAGACAAGGAAGTTGAAGAAGAGAAGGTTTTTGAGAAAGAGATAAGTATGGAGAAGAAGAAGCTTAAACATGAGAATACAACTTCGACTCCCAGTGAAGCTAGGAATCTTGATGGGCCGGTTCCATTTCCTGGTCGACTTGCGGAAAGGAAGTTGAATGATAAGTTTGCAAAGTTCCTTAGTGTGATGAAAAATTTGCACATCAACCTACCTTTCATCGAAGTTGTCACACAAATACCTTCATACTCCAAGTTCCTCAAGGATATTCTCACCAATAAGAGGAAGCTTAATGATGAGCTCATCACTCTTCCCCATCAAGTGAGTGCACTTGTTCAACATAAGATGCCCAAGAAGCAAAAGGATCCGGGAAGTTTCACTTTGCCAGTAAAGATTGGGAATATGGAAGCTAGGGGCACCTTAGCCGATCTTGGAGTAAGTGTTAGTTTGATTCCTCTATCCATTGCTCAAAAGCTTAACATTGAAATGATCCCTACAAGGAAGATTATCCAATAGCCGACCGTTCAGTGAAGTTGTCTTGTGGTGAACTGGAAGATGTTCCTATTCAAGTTGGGCATATTTATGTGCCTTGTTACTTTGTAGTGATGGATATGGAAGAAGATGTTGATACTCCTTTGATTTTGGGTCGTGAAGCTCTTAAGACTTTGGGGGCGGTGATCAATTGCAAGAACAACACCATTACATGTGAGTTTGCCGATGAAAAGATTGTCTTTGAGTTTTCTAAGTTGCCTAAGACCCCCATGGTTGAAAAATGCTATAGGGTTGATGTTGTGAATGAGGAGTTGGATCGATTGGGAAGGGTAATGATGAAGCCTTCAAGATCCAATGGTTGAAGCTCTTACATGCAAGGAAGAGTATCACTCTCAAGAAGCAAAAGAGTTCGTCGTGGCCGTGGAGGAAACTCAAATGGAGGAAGACCATGAACAACAAGAGGATAAAGAAAATCTTGAACTAGAGGAGGAAATGGAGGAGAGTTCCAAGCCTCCTCCCAAGGTAGAACTCAAACCCCTTCCCCCCTCTTTGAAATATGCTTATCTTGGAAATGAAGTGGAATACTCTATTATTGTCAATGCTACCCTTGATGGTCTTGATTTGGAAAAATTGCTTGTTGTGTTGAGAAAATATAGAGATGTGATAGGGTATAGCATTGATGATATTAAGGGTATTAGCCCCACTTTATGCATGCATCGTATTCATCTTGAGTATGATCAATCCACCTCGATTGAGCCTCAAAGGAGGTAGAACCCCAACCTCCAAGAGGTTGTCAAGAAAGAAATCTTGAAATTGCGTGAAGCGGGCATAATCTATGATAACTCCGATAGTAAGTGGGTTAGCCCGGTTCACGTGGTTCCAAAGAAAGGTGGAATGACCATCGTCAAGGGAGAAGGAGGAGAGGAAATCTCCACCCGGACGGTAACCGGGTGGAGAATGTGCACTGATTATAGGAAGTTGAACAAATATACAAAGAAAGACCATTTTCCTCTCCCCTTCATGGACCAAATGTTAGAGAGACTCTCTAACCATGCTTTCTTTTGTTTCTTGGATGGATATTCCAGATTTTTCCAATTCCCTATCCACCCAAATGACCAAGAGAAAACTATTTTCACATGTCCATATGGAACACTTGCGTACCAAAGAATGTCATTCGGGTTATACAATTCTCCTTGAACATTCCAACAATGCATCACTTCCATTTTTTCGGAAATGCTTGAAAATGAGATTGAAGTTTTTATTGACGATTTTAGTGTTGGTGGATCATCTTTTGACACATGTCTTTATAATCTTGAAAATGTATTGAAAAGGTGTCAAGAGACGAGTTTGGTTTTAAATTGGGAGAAATGCCATTTTATGGTCGAGGAGGGTATTGTCCTAGGCTACAAAATGTCAAATAAGGGCATTGAGGTCGACTCGGCCAAGGTTTTGGTGATTGCAAAGTTGCCCCCTCCTACTTCTGTTACGGGAGTAAGAGCTTTTCTAGGGCATGCCGGTTTTTACCGGAGGTTTATAAAAAAAAAATTCATCAATCGCCAAACCTTTGACTGAATTACTCAAGAAAGATGTTGTGTTTAACTTTGATGAGGCTTGTCTTGAGGCTTTTTAAAAAATCAAGGAAGCTCTCATTTCCTCTCCCATTGTGCAAGCTCCGGATTGGAGCTTGCCTTTTGAGCTAATGTGCAATGCGAGTGACTTTGCAGTAGGTGTTTTGGGGTTTTCTGATGTCCTGTGGGAGAGCTACAACTCCAAGACTGGAACCGAGCGCCTGTACCTGCAAAACAACGGAAACTCCGGGTGGTAGGAGTTTCGCCTCCGACGGTCAAGTTAGTACTTGTTTAAGGAGTAATTAATGCGGAAAAAGGTAAAGTGTTTTCTCTAGGTGAGAGTAATTAATGGGCGTAATCCCCTTTAATGAGGATTAGTAATTGTATTTATAGTCTTGGGATGCGTGCCAGTCCTAGGTTTAGGTCAACCTAGGGCTGATTGGGCTTCTACAAGTCCTTGGGCCTTGGTGGCCAGCTTTTCCATTTGGCATGGGGAGGACACGTGTCGTGTCGTAACTGGTCCATGTTGGACTGATCAGCACCTAACACGTGGCAGGCTCCTATTGGCCCATGCAGCGGACACATGGCAGAACCTGGTTGGTCCACTTGTTAGATGGTGATTGGTAGGGAAAAATTACCTAATCATTTGCCCCTTACAAGTGGCACGTGACTGTTCACATGTCACCTGTGACAAGTGTCGGCCTGTAACAGGCGGCGGCCTGCTACAGGTGTCGCCCTACGACGGGCCGAGCATTTTTCCCGCTCATTTTTTGAATTTGAAGGCGACTCTTTGCATTCTCTTTTGCCCTATATAAAGGCATGTTGACCAAGTCTTTTGTTCACATTTGCAAACTTTTCCAAGAGAACTCTCGGACCCCTGAACTTGAGCTCTGACACTCTGCAACTTCTAACCTACCAGGACGACTATTTTACTAGGCGAGCTCTGACACTCTGCAACTTCTGACGTACCAGGCAACTATTTTACTAGGCGCTTACTCCGATCAAGCTTTTCAGAACTTAAGTTTCAGGTAACCGTATGTTCTTTTATTCTTTTTGCTTTTGCACTTTTTCTTTCTTTTTTTGAAAATGAGACCTCAAAAGCATCCGCCACGGCCTAGGTTAGCAATCAGCCGTTCATCGAGGACGACTGAGTCTAAGACTAGGGGTGCCGACTGCCCTGCGGTACTTCAAACTTTGCGCAAGTCCCGGAATCCAACTGTCTTTGTATCTATGCAGGACAATATGGCTAGAACAAAAAAGACCAAGAGAATAGAAAACTCTAACGGCTCCTCTTTCCGGGTTCCGATTAGTGAAACATCGGACCAGACGCCTGATACCGCAGGGACCCAAGGTGGCCCTTTAGCCGAGAGCTCTGAGGAGGGTACTAAGGTAGTTCCTTCTCACCTTACTGTTGACCTGGCCAGTTAGTAGACGGCCCCCGAAGAAGAAGGGGGTCGGCCCCTTCAGGAAATGGGGAGGAGTCGGACTCTTCTGATAGCGAGTCCGGCTCTAGCTCATCAAGCCGCCTGTCCATAAGCTTAGAGGAGAGGCATAATTGCTTGCATGAGGCGAGAAATTCTCATGCGGCTGAAAAGGGGGAAGGCTGGTCGGAACCATCCGCCTCTCATAGGGAGTTGAACACTCCTTATTACTGCCACGTACCCAAGGGTCGGATCAAGGCCATGAAAGAGCAAATAGACACCTTTCTTTCGGACCATACGGATGGGTCCAGATTATCATGTTTTTGTGCCGGATGGCGAGGTTATCGTTGTCTGGCCCATAGGGACCAGCTATGGGGACGCCTGCTTTGGCTGCTACGAGGCGGCTATCAAAGCTGGATTGCGATTTCCCTTGGATCCGGCCGTTCAGAAAATCCTAGATGGATACGAAGTGGGGCTTTGTTCAACATCCTAGGCTACGTAGCCCCTAATTCTTTGTTCAACATTCTTGGCTACGTAGCCGGATATGAAATGCACGGGGTAGAGCCGAATTTTGAGGCGTTCACCCATATGAACTATCTCAGCCAGACCCCTAAGGCAAGCGGTACCGCTGGTACCAGATTACAAGCCACAACGGCTACTTGATGACAAGGGGCAAGGAAAATAAATGGAAGGATTGGAGAAACACCTTCCTCATCATTGCCAGCCCTGACCGCCTGCTAAACAAACGCTACAACAGGTGGAACAAGGATCCGCCTCTTCTAGTAGGCGGTCAAAGCATGCCGCTTGTTTCCCTTAAGGCCAGGGAAGAGATCCTGGACTTAGGGCTGTTTAAAGTAGAGATTAGGGCAAACTCTACTACTGTGGTACGAGAGCAGGTGCCCCTAAACTGCGTCCCAGAGTTTCAATGGCTCTACGACGAGTTTTTCCTGGCCGCTTGTGGCCTTAGCATTCGGTCCTCCAGAGGTAGCCAACCACTTCAAAAAAATGTACCCTTCACTTTGACTTGTTTGAAAATTTTTCTAACTTTTGTGGTTCTCATTTGTTGTTGAAGCTATGGACTAAATTTCTGCTTCCAAGAAGGCGGCCGCTATGCTGCGAGCCTCCATAATGCAACAGCAGCAAACCGCTTTTGATTCTCCTGCCAAGGAGACGCCCACCGTGAGTTTCGATCCTTAGAACTTGTCTTTGAAAGGCTGCTTAATAAATATTGACCTCTCGTCTCTTTTACAGACGGGCACTTCCAAACCCTCATCCTCCCATCAACCGGACTCAAAGGTTCGGAATCTGATTGGTGGGAGTATGCCTGGATCTACCAGGAAACAATCGGCTAACAAGTAGCCGGCCACCCCACAAAGTGTGGGGAACCCACCACTTATTCTTACACGGCCGCCGAGAAGTATAGCTTGCTCTGCTAGACTTGCTTTTTTCTTTATCACTCTCTTCATGTTTCTGATGTTTTCCTTTGTTTTTTATGCAGACGGCCCTTCAGAACCGGACTTGGTCCAAATGGCCAAGTCCATGATTAAGGCCGTCCCTCAAGAGGAGAGGGATACGGTCAAGGGAGTCGGCACACTTGACCTAGACGGCATCATGGGTCTTCTATTTGAGGTAGACTTAGAATACTTTTCCACTTTATTACTTTGCATGCCGCCTGCTTTTCTTTAATCTGACGCCTGTTTTTCCTTATTTCAGACCATGTTGAGAGTACAGGACCTTTGTAGGCCGATCAACGCCAAAAACAAAGAGGTAAAGGCTGCTAAAGCTATGGCCCCCTCTGACGTTGATAAGGCAATGTTTCAAATTGCCCAAAATGAATTTTTGACAACTGATATTCTTTATTATCAGGCGCATGCCACTGCCACTATTCGCACTGAGTTGGAGGCGGCCAAAAAGAGGAACAACGAACTGGAGGCGACGGTCAAGAGCCTCAAAGATGAGCTGAGGCCGCTTAGGCAGAAGATGACTTAGTTCGAGACCTTGGAGAAGTCCTTGGCTTTTGTCAAAGAGCGTCTGGTCCAGCAGGAGAAGAGCCTCACTGATGAGCTCTCGGCCAAGGCCGAAAAGGAGAAGATGGAGCTAGCCCAAGCCATGTTGGAGGACTCGGCTCAAATCATGAGAATGACTTGGACGAATCTCTTCCCAAAAGCTCATTATGCCGCCTAGGAGAAGAAGTTCATTGCTTGTACTAAAAAGTACAACCAGCAAATCATGAAGCAGGATGCTGAAGAAGACCAGGCGGCCGAGTCCAGCTCAGAAGAGGAGGCGAAAGACATGGCTCTGCAGCCGATTGTGGTGGAAGCTTCTAAAGAAGCTGCCCCTGATGCCGAGACAAGTAAGAAGGATGCCTCTCAG